GACGGTTTTTTATTAGGTATGATGAAAAGAAGCTGCAAACTAAAGGCGGGTTCTCACTTGTCAGTTTCGCTGACGCAGTCTGACTGATTCATTATCAATGAAAAATAAAAAACAACGATTGTATTCACACGTTTCATGTTTTGCTACATTCAGTATTCAGTTGGTCCAAACATTCTAATGTGGTGATTTCGTATAGACATGAAAATGGTTAAAACAAAATTGAAACCAGGTGTTCGCGAAGTTTGTTTACAATTAGCAAATGAATTACAGAATATTCTGGTGAATCAGAAAAGAAAAAAAAACGTCGTAGGTGGTCAGGTCCTGGATATTGCGAAGAAATAAACGGGGTGCTAGTGAAACTATATTAAAAGAATTAATTAACTTAACTTTTAAACTGCACAAATCACGAAAATGTAGTTTTCACGCTTCAGTTTCTATTCATTATTCGATAATGATCAGTCAAAATGAAAAAAAGTAGAACTGGTTTTCACTTTAACTGAAAGTACGAATGTACTGATCATTTAACATGAAAATGTGTTCTGACGTTCATTGTTTGTTCAGTATCACTGAATCAGTCAGACTGCGTCAGCGAAACTGACAAGTGAGAACCCGCCTTAAATTATCGTTGGAGCCACGATACACTCACAACGGTATGTTCTTGCGCACGGTTGCTCGGCCTGTGACGTCATGTGGCAGACAAACTTCTGAGCGGCGCCGTAACTTTACATTGAATTTTTGATTCCGCACCGATTTTTTCAAGCGTATTGGAATAAATTAATACTTTTTTTCATTCAAAATATGCTTTATTGGTACAGGATGACTTATACATATATTTATTTGTTATAAAATTACACAGGTTAGTGCCAACAGTTTGATAACTGACCCGAAAAATGGTTTAGCGCAAAAACAAAATTAAGAATCGGCTTTTTTTGCAATATTTCATGGAATGGCGTGATATAACAAAAATATTATAATAGGTAGCCGAAAAAAACTGGGACAAACAAATTTAATACCTATTTACATATTATAGACAGAGATAAGAGGTAAACTTTCGGTCTGTGGGTCAGTTTTGGTTATTTCTTAGTGTCCAAAAAAAATAAAAAATATTTCCCAACAATTTTTTCTGGAGTGCGAGTGGGTTAGTGTCAGTGTCAGTCAGTCATTGTTCATTGGTTTTAAGCTATTTTACAAGATGCCTCTCCTCTACTTAATCTAATAATAATCCATTCGAAGAATTGTCCATTCGAAGAACTGTCCTTCGAAGAATTGTCTTTCGAAGAACTGTTCTAAATCCATTTTCTTCCTGGTGGCACCTACATACAGTGTTTTAAAGCTAACATTTATTTAAGTTAACTTATATGGTACATTGTTATTTAAATTAAACAAAACTTAATTTAAAACGTTTTTATTTAATTATACAGGAAATTTCAAAATTAGTGTTAGATTTTAGGTTGAATTTGGGACACCATGTATTGCTAATAATTTTTTTTTCAAAACCTAATAACTATAATATGTAATTATAACAACAAGAATATTATTTTTTTAAATGAGTAAATTTTGACATTTTTTTATCAATTTTCCTCTGTGAGTTTTTAAAACTTATTTTTCGATTTAAGTCTCTCAGTCTAATATATGTTCGAGTTCGACTGAGACACAAAGCCACCTCATATGGCATACCTAAATTTACTTTAGACAACGTTCTTTCAGCTAGATCTTTAAAAATATTTTTGTCTCTAGAAAGGGATGTACCATGCATCTGAAAAAAGTCTACTTCCATTTTCTGAGCCAGTTCCCATAACTCACTATTTGGACTAAATAAAGAGCCCCTTGAGATTACTTGCAGCCATTCTGGTACCTGTTGCATATTCAAATAATTTTTGGTTTGTTAGCCCAAATTATATTTATTCTTAAATTTATAGGCTACGAAACCAGCAATATATTTTAGTGACTAGGTGTGAATCTTCTCTTTAACTTCAAAGTTATCCAATAGTGACAATACTTCACCCTCAGCTGTATCTTCCTCTTCAAGATACAGAGGTACTGTAAATGACTCTGAGGTAAATTGTTCTAGTTCTATATTGTCTTGTTCTAGATCACATTCAGTTTTACTCGCAATGTCCTGTTTTTCAACCAGACAAAAAAAACAGCAGGTTTCATGTCCAACATTCAATTGTTTCCATAAAGAAATATTTCCTGTACCCATGTCACTTGTAACTGCAACTACTGTAAAATGTGACTCATATAATTGAGATATTATGTTATTGAGGATAACTTTAGTCATTGGCTGATCAAATTCATAATATATGGGCTGCTTCCAGTTAGAAAAGAGTCCCCTTATCATAACTGTTTGGCAAGCTTTGTGAGGTCTTATAACCTGTTCAGTTTTTTGTCTATATCGATTTTGTTTGATATATAAATCTCGTCAAATGTTAAAACACACAACCTATCCACATTACTGAAATCTGCTGCTTTTTTCTTCATAACTGAGATAACACTTGTCAAACAACCCCGACTGACATCAATATTTCTCACCCATTTTCTTAAAGTTGACATTGCTGGTAATGGAAAATTGTTAGCTTTTAAGTACCTATACGCCTTAGGGCTGACACTGCGTAAAGATATAGCTGAGGCTATATCTTCTGCTGACCAACACACTCGTTTATTACTTCCTAAATTTTTTAATTTTTTTATTTGTCCCCGAGTGAATACCTTCGACAATATTTCTTCATAGTTCTCAACTGTCTGTTCGAGTTCCTGGAATTTTTTCTGTAGCTCACTATTTTGATTTTCCAGCAGTTTAACTTTTTCTTTAAGCTGAATTATTTCAGTGTCCATTGACCTGCAAGTAATAAAATTATAATTATCAGATCTGTGTGAGAATGCAATTTGTTCACACATTAAAATATTAAAACTTAATCTATTCTACATTATAAACAGCATTGTTTAACTACAGGTAAATATGTAAACTCACTCAGTTGTGGACATCAGCTTCGGTTGACTATTATTGTTAGGTTCAGTTGAGTTCATATTATTTTCTGATTTCATGGTCACAACAACATGGGTCTCTGGCTCGGTCTCTGGTTCATAAAGAGCCGTAGTAGAGCTATTCAGAATCAAAATATTCTGAACTTGCTCTAGGCGTTTTCGTTTAACCATACGCATCTCTCTGTCTATAACACTGGTAGATCTCTTTTTAGTCCCGGGAAGATGTAATGTTGGCACAGAGTTGGACTTCAAATGATGGGTATTTCTTGGGGTGTAATTTAATAGTCGTTCCCTTAAAGGTATTTCGAAGCAGTCATCTTCAAAATGGATTGAACACAGACGTGCTAAAACGATTCAATGTTATTACAACTGTAGGGTGACCTACTACTAAAAATTTGTTTATTTACATTTGGTATCTTATTTATTTAACTGTTCTAAACCCTGGTTAACTGTGCGTATTATCAAACATTTTAAACACTTACCATTTTTTACATTTATTTCATCTTCTCTTCGTCTTACATGTAGCCACGGAACAACTAGACATTTTAATGATCGTGGACGAAACACAATAAACAATTAATTAAAACTCGTCAATGCACAATAAATCGTAAAAACTCGTCAGAAAATATAATCAACAAACTAACAAACGCCAACGTCAATGCAAAGAAGCGAGATGATATCGGGCGCTGTCTGCCAGCCTACGTCCCATGCGCGAAAGGAACCAATTTACGCCGGTCAAGGAACATACCGTTGTGAGTTTACCGTGGTTGGAGCCAACTATATTTTAATTTATTTTTATCCACAATAACTATGCACGGTAGGGGTTCAAAATATGCCTATACTGTGAGACAACTCCATTCGAGTATAAATTAATATTTACATTTCAAGTATCTTCTTGGTCTACCTGCACCCCGTTCACGCTTATTCCCTAATTTCTATAAAAAATATTATGATTTATAACTTTTTATTTTTATTGTGAAAATTGGTGAAAAGTATTTTTTTTTTGTACGGCGAAGATAAATTTATGGGCCATCCATAAATTTAAATTTACACCTAAGTTCGAATATTGGTTAAACCTAGGAATACCCAGGTAATAGCCCGAAATATGCAAAAGAAGAAGTGAGTTTAGGTTAGATTAGAATTAGGTTTTAGTTGGTTTTGCATTAATAAAAAATATAGACCTGATATAAACTTAAGCTAAACTGACCTCTTTTTTGCATATTTTGGGCTCCTACGTGGGTATAGGAGCCCGTCATAGTGTCGTGACCGTGATCGTGACCAATCGCGAGTCCGCACACGTTCATATCCATCATCATTAATATTTTCCTCACTAAATTCTTCACTTTTACAAAAAACCATCACGATAAAAATCAAATATCAAAATTATTTCACGTTGCGAACGTTAAACTTGTTCACTATACGTATCTGGAATATATTTGTGAATAGCGATCAATGATACGTTTACGTTAGACTGCCGGAGTGCTGACGTCACGAATGTCAAATTGCTTTCCAACGAACAAGGTTTAGTTCTTTTATATTTCTATTGAGCTCTTCCAAATGACGCCACAAGTTAATATAAAATGTAAAAAAAACAGGTGATTGTCGACAACCGCCGACTTGTGTCTGGTATGTTTTTTACATATTTTAAGATTTTTTAAAAATGTATACAGGGTGTTTCGAAAAATCTGGTCATTAATTAATCACGATCCTGCTTAAAGCGCTTGACGTAAAAAGCTGATTTTTGGAAAACAGATTGACTTTAGGGTGTAGACACAGATAACACATAATCCAGATGGCTCCTTACGTGTTAAAAATTGTCACCCCAATTTCACTCCAATTTGGAAAAATATTGGAGTGACGTTTGAATAATCTGAAATTTTTAGATTCCTTTTCTAACTTTTTTGGGAGGTTTTGCTTCTCTTGCACAGATGTCGCTTGCACTTCAGTTGCGTGGTTGCCAAACGTTATATCGAAATATATTTCATTTCATTATGAATATATAAAATTAAAAAAATTATGTAATTTATAAACATGAAATAGATATGGATGTTAGGTAATACCGGATGTTAAATTAATATATAAATATTTAACTTAATACGTACATTATTATTTTATTAATTTATCGTCACACGTCATTTACCAGTTGCCTAATTACGAAAAGTTTCATATGATATTAACCTCAAAATGATCTTTGAAAACAAACAACAACAAATAACTCAAAGAAATAACTACATACTACATAATAATAACTGATAATAATGACTTTTAATGGTATAAAGGCTGATGAAGGTAATTATAAACATTATTTTGAGTTTGTTTAATAAAATATAGGATACAATATAACTAAGCAAAATGAAACAGTTTTAGACAACCAATACAAGATTCAGAACTCGGCATCGCGATAAACAAGTAAAATTGTACATTCAGGAACTCGTTTAAATATTATAGGTAAGTAATATTTTCACAAAAAGTAAACATAAAGTAATATAGAATATTACCTGTGATAAAATGTTAATTAGTGACGTATATTTATTCTAATCACATTTAAATTTAAACTCAAAATTTTCATAAAGAAAATGATAATTTTTCATAGATATAAAGTAAATAATATTACATATTTCAGGTTGATTGAAGAATAATCTACAATTGATTAGAGCCTATGACGATGCGAAGATAATTAATCACCTAACTTTAAGAAACCAGCCTAAAGAAGTTTACATGCATCTCATCTAACCATTATAGGTAATAATTTACAAAATTAGTCATTTTTGATTATAATATTATGGTACTTAGGTACATTTTATCTTCTAGATCAGTAGTGATTTTTCATAATTTGAATGAACTCACAGATAGCAATGGGGCACCGCACCCGAAGCAGTATTACAAAATGTGAAATAAAACTGTAGTACATATTGCTCTATAAAATTTAATAGAAATAAATTTATTTATGAAAATTAATGAAGTTTTATCTTTCCTAGGAAAAAAATAACAATTATATTTTGAACAATTAATTTAGAACATTAGAGTTAAAAAAATATATGTGTTAGAAATTGTAACAGATATTTTTTAACTCTATGTTATTCTAACTTAGAATAACATATTTTTAATAAAATTGCGCTTATAGTTTATACTTTTTTGCTATTATATCAATAAGAACTAACGTAAGGAGCAATTCATTTATACTATAAACACACATGCATATTTTTTGATCTTTTTAAAACCAGTGAATGATGTTGAAATATGCTACACCTATTAATTCTTATTAACTAACTTTATAGCTAGACAGTTGAAAATTTTACAGATAATTAATGTATCTATGTTGCCGCTATAAGAACAAATACTAAAAACAGAATTAAATAAATGTTTATAAATAAAAAAGTACTTTCACTAAACATTATCGTTTAAGTAAGAATTTTACACAGAATATTCAAGTCCTCGAGTGGCCGTGTGGTTAAAGGCGTTAGGATTTGAAGGCGTTGAGACGTAGTGAGGCAGGTTCGAATCGTAGGCAAGGTGACTTTTTCTTAATCTTTTTTTTTATTTTTACATATTTATTTTTACTTATTTATTATTGATTAATACAATTTTTAGCAATGTATTTCTTCATTTTTTTTAAATTACTTACAAGCGCATTCAAAATTTCAGCTAAATCGGAAAAAAGTTTACAATAATATAATGTCTGATGTTGTATAGATAATGTGTGAATGGTACATTCAATGATAATGAACCCTTCGTGCGCGAGTCCGACTCGCACTTGGCCAATTTTTTTTTGTTAATTGAAACGTTTAGAATTTGAATATTCGTTCAAAAATTTTTTTTTTAATAAATTTATTTATGATAAACAATTTATTAATGAAAATAATATGACCGAATTTCCTGGAAAGTTTTTCAAATTTGTACATATGAAAACCTAGCTTTACCACTTATCATAGAAAATCTCTATTCCTTCCCTTATCACGGAATAATAAAGGAACGAACCATATGCGACAAAAGATAGAAGATTTAGATATGTCGTTACTGTCTTTTGTTTTTAACGGATATTTTAAAAGGCGGGTAATTTACCTTTGACTGTCTTTGATTATAACTGTGTGTGATTAGTGATAATAAAATTATTATTAAAATGTCTGGTAATAAGTGCCAATTTATAATTGTGGGATTTCTCGGAAATCAGGTGTACATATGTTTAAGTTTCCTGCGTCAAGAGATCCTAATTTATGTACAAAGTGGATAGAAAATTGTGGTGAGTTCATTCATATAGAATTTTTTGCACATTTTGTATGTAAAAATACGGCGTTAAGTTACCTTAGAAATGGTGATCGATGGCTTTTACCATATACCGTATGATCGAAAAAAACGGCGTCAGCGATGGCTATGAAATGAAGATCGCTGTCATTTGATATGTAAAATTATATGGGAATGTCATCGACCATCATTTCCAAGCCAATCGGACGCCTTTTTTTTGGATCATACGGTATAATTTAACACATTAAGAATTGTCCATCGTTATTTCTTTATCTATGCAAAGTTTATGATGGATAAATCAAGTAATTAAGTGGATATAAATTATAAATGAATCAGTGAACATAAACTGTTATAAATTATAAGTAATGCAATTATTGAATATACCATACGATCGAAAAAAAACGGCGTGGGAGTGGGCTTGGAAATGAAGCATATATAGATTAATTGAAAGCATTTTATAAAAATATATAGTTATACAGGGTGTCCCCCAAAAAAGTTATACATTAAAGTTGTTTTTGTAATGGAATACCCTATATATTAATTGATTTTTGGATTCCAGGAAAAAATAAAGGTGTGTTTTATTAAAGAAGCATGTGCCTAGAATGTAAGGATTTTGACATATTTCACATTTTGTGAAAATGAAGAATAAAATTTAAATTTCAATAACAGCTATCTATATTGTAATTTATCCTGTATAGCCTGATATTTAGTTACAATAACCATAATATGTTAAACCAAATTAAAATGTGACGGAAAAGTTATACAGGGTGGGACAAAACCTATATAGAACATTTATCACTTTGAAAAGCAAGTTACTCCTTTATTTTAAATGGAACACCCAGTATATTATTTCCGTGTTCAATGGGGAATTCATATATCTTCAAAATATTATTAAGGTTGCCTACCCCTCTAACAAAGATTTTCCTAGATACTTTCATTTTTATGATTTTGCGTCAGTAGATCTTTATTATTTGAAAAAAATCTAGGTGGCTGTGTTAATTTATCAAAATTAAAGGATGTAGTATAAAATACTGTAATAAAAACATACGTTTAAAACATATATTAATTATCACAGAATTAAAATTAGATATAAATGTATAATTATATAACAAAAATTTGAATCTAAAAGTAGAATCATATCAAATTCTTTCTGATGTAGGATAAGTTTCTATTTTCGGAAAATTTCTTAGATTTTTTTGTTTCAACTGACGAACTGACACAAAATAATAACTAGTTGCTAAAGTTGAACTAATTTGACAGCTATGTTGAAGTAACGTAGACATATCACAGCCACCCTAGATTTTATCAAATAATAAAGATCTATTCACACTAAATCATAGAAATGAAAATATCTAGGAAAATCTTTGTTTGAGGGGTAGGCCGGCAACCTTAATAGTATTTGGAAGTGACATGAATTTCCCATTGAATATCGGAATAATATTCTGGGTGATTCAATTAAACTAAAGGAGTTATACAGGGTGGGTATTAAAGGAGTTATACAGGTTATACCAATGTTCAGCATTAATTTTGCCCCACCCTGTATAACTTTATGGGTCAGGTTTTAATTTGATTAAAGTGCAATAGAGTAAATTCCAATTTAGGTAGTTTTTCTTGAAATTTAAAAATTGTTCTTCAAAATCTTAAGTAAGTCTAAAACCTTACATTTCAGTCATATACTTCCCTAATAAAACACACCTTTATTTTTCTCTTAGAATCTAAAAATTAATTAATAAAGGGGGTATTCCCTTACAAAAAAATACAAATTTGATGTGTAACTTTTTTTGGGGACACCCTGTAGAACTCTCTATATTTTTAAAACGTACGCAGAATTAACTTACATATGATCACAAAATTTCATTTCAATACGAATTGGTCGTTCTCCTTGGAGCCTCCGAGTCATATGAGAGGCGCCACCCTGTATAATTTTTATATAGTTGCACTTTAATAAATTGTTAGTTAAAACTAACAGTCCTACGAGTGTGGAATTTTGTACAGGTGGATTTTGGACATTCATCTCTTAAGAGAGTGAAATAAGGGATGAAAATTTGTACAAACATTTGTTAAAATCGGGTTTAGAAGTATGAAATTCTGTTTGTTCCTTATGTAACGTAATTTAGTAATAACAAGCAATTTTTTTTCAGAACGTCCACACCTCATTTCACCCCGTTAGAGGGCGAATTTCCAAAAATTGTTCCTGAGTGCTAAATTACGTTACATAAGGAACGTCTGCGCAAAATTTCATACTTCCAAAACCGATTTTAATGAATTTTTGTACAAATTTTCATCCCTTAATTCTTATGGGGCGAATGCCTAAAATTCGCTTCTGAGTACTCACTTTCATCACTTGAGGAACCTCTGTGCAAATTTTCATACTTCTAGGACAGATTTTTTTCAGAAAGTTCACCCCTCATTTCACCCCCTTAGAGGGAAAATTTCGAAAAATTGCTTCTTAGTGCTAAATTACCTTATATAAGGAACGTCTGCGAACAATTTTATACTTCTAAAACCGATTTTAACAAATTTTTGTACATATTTTCATCCCTTATTTCTTAAGGGATGAATGCCCAAAATTCGCTTCTGAGTATAACTTTCATCACTTGATTTTTGGACAGATTTTTTTTCAGAACGTTCACCTTCATTTCACCCCCTTAGAGGAAAATTTCCTAAAATTGCCTCTTAGTGCTAAATTAAGTTACATAAGGAACGTCTACGCAGAATTCATACTTCTAAAACCGATTTTAACAAATTTTTATACCAATTTTCATCCCTTATTTCTTAGGGGATGAATGTCCAAAATTTGCTTCTGAGTACTCACTTTCGTCACTTAATTAACAATTTCCAAATTTCAAACTCCTCGGACTAATTTTAAAAAAGTATGCAAAATTTCACCCCCAGTTTCACCCCTTAGTAGAAGAATTTCCTAAAATCGCTTTGTATAATCGAACTGTTAAGTTACGCTACTTAAGGCACCTCTGTGCAAAATTTCGTAGTCCTAGGACATGCTTTTTTTTGTATACAAAAGTACCCCCCATATCACCCCCTTAACGAGCGAATTTCCAAAAATTGCCCCTTAGTGTTCAATTACGTCAGTCAAGGAGCACTCGTGAAAAATTTCATACTCTTAAACCAGATTTTAACAAATTTTTATGCAGCTTTTCATCCCTAATTTCACCCCCTTAGCGGTCGAATTTTCAAAAAATCCCTTCTTAGTGCTCATTTACATCACTTAAGGAACCTATGTGCCAAATTTTATTTATTACTATATAGATAACCTTTACCCTTATTTTCAGCTAATGAATATTAAGAGACAAATAATAAAAATAAAATCTAAATTATAAATTTCATGGCTATAAATAGAATATATATGCATCTAGAAATTCTGACTTTCAAACATCCACTGCGACTAGTATTTTCATATCCAATTGTATAGTATTAAAGTCCGAATATACATTTTCCCTGGGTTTGACCGGGAATTTGCTTATAAATATGAACAACCGGCTACGTCGCTTCACATCGCGTGGCCGTGGTGTGGCTCGAAATTTGTTCGTTTTAAAAATATTATTAGATTTGGCTATAGGCGCCCTCTGTGTCATTAATAGGGAACTGTCTCATCGAAAACATG